AGATATGTCGACTTCAATATGCAATGTATGATATTATTTTATTATTATTATTTTATTTAAATCACCCGAGACAAAATATTCTTACAATGGCTTTATTCACACCACATACTAACCAACGAATGTGGTTGGGTACTAACGGAGTTATAAGGTGGCCGGCTCGTTCTCCAGATTTGACCCCATTGGATTTATTTCTATGAGGTTATTTAAAAAACACTGTATCAGAACCCTATAGAAGACATCGCAGATTTACATAGGTAATAAAATTTGTGCAGTTACGGCGGCTTTAGATCGTGACACTTTATTAAGAGCCTTTAATGTCGAACTAACGAGAAGACTTGTGCTGAAGTCGTAATTTTAAACATTTATTATAATCTTTGTTTTCACTTACTTCAGTAACTACATCTACATCTCCGTTATTATTTTAAATACTTTCTGTTACTTTTTCTGTTGTTGATCATTTGTTTTTTTATAATTTATTGTTTGTTAGTTAGTATGTGGTATAAATAAAGCCATTATACGAATATTTTAAAAGAATATTTTGTCTCAGTGTGATTTAAATAAAGTAATAGATTTTCCTGTTACATCGTACATTTTATATTGAAGTCGACATGACTTGAAAACAAATAAATATTGGGAAAAGCTTTGTATTACAAAAATTACTTAAAATTTAACGATCTCTCAGATGGGCCGCATTTACATGTTCCAGGAAGCAAAAAAGAAAATTAGTATCGTCACGCCATCTATACTGAACAATTCTAACTGCAATTTGAAGCTATTCGAGGGCCTAACAACCTCAGTTTCTGGAACTAAAATAAATCTCTTTATTTCAGAGATATTGGCAGCGGGAGTGTTAAATGGCACACCCTGTACTCAAATAAACATACATTGCTTATAATTATTTATTTCTTTAAACTTTAATCCAAAAACCATCTTTGAAACACAAAAGACGCGAAAAGAGAACGGCATATCCTCTGTATCATAATTTACTCAAATAATTCAAAACTACATAACTCTGAGATTTCCGATTTTAGCCATGTTTTTTATATTTGTTACTTTTGTAAAAGAACATAAATGGCTTTTATTGACTAGAATATTAATCATAACTTTTATATTTATGATTTTTCGTTAGTAACCCTGTAACCCTTACAAACGATTGTCTTGTTCCAAGTCGATAGCATTAAGCGTTACCAAGAAAAAACATATTTAATATTTTAGCGCATTTTTAAAAACAGTTAAAATTAAAACAGCCGTCATATTGACCAATTGAGAAATTTAAAAATAATAATAATTTATTCGGATTTAAAAGGAAAAAGATCTATTTGTAAGATTTTTTATTAATGTTTTTTGTATTCAGTTGTTTAATTTTTTGAAAAAGTACAGACAAAAAGTATGACAAATTTTCGAATAATGTAAATAAGCCATTTAAGCCTTATTGACTTTTCGAAATATGTCATAGTAGCTTGTTATGTTATTTTTATGAGTAGAATCATCCCTAAATTTAATGACAGAACGTTCACTCTAAAAAAAAGCTTTTTTAAGAGAACAGACTATTATTTTATAAATTTGAGTTTGAATTTGAAATTCTAGTGGCTGGAACAGAATCGTAAAACTTCTAAAATATTTTTTTAATCTTTCGAATTCAACATTACATAAACGCATCTCAGATTTTAACTTACCGTTTTGAATCCTCTGTACATAATCCTTATTTCTTGTCTGGTGAACTTAGTCAATCTGCAGAGGTCCTCGAGTGCCACGGGTATAGGTTTGGGCACCCTGGACGGTTCGATTTCGAACATCACCTCCTCCACGGGGCTGTCTGACGGAGTGGCCATGCTTGCAGTTTTTGGCCTGTACGAGTGTTAGAATCACTTTCGGGATCTTCCCCTATCCGCACATGTTAGCGTACCACGAAAATCGACCACGGACTGATCTATCATCTGTTGAGATGCAGAAAATCGTTACGCCTCATCTTTTTCTATAAATAACTGTCCATTGAGAGTGTGGTTTTGCTGTATTGGGTTTTCGGTTGTTTACGTTTATGAACTCTCTCTCTAGAGGAATGATTAACCCCCCTCGTGTGTGTGTGTGCTGTTTTTTCACAAATATTTGTTTACAATTATTTACAGGACCATACAGGATGAGACAGCTGAAATGAGAAAAAAATTGATAATTTCTCTATGGAAACGTAAAATTATAAAATTAAGAAAGCACAATATAAAGCAGTGCAACGGGGGTTTGAGGGGAGAGGAGTCGGAACTTCCCGCCCACGATTCTAATGGGTTTCCCTAGAAAACGCAAGAACAATCAGCATTGTACCGGGAGACTACAGAAATATTGTAAATTCTTAAAAATACATAGTGACTGAAATTATAATATAGTTAGTATTTCAACTAATTCCTGATAATAAGTTCATGGTAAGAGTAATATTATTTAATTTAGAAATAAATCTATTAAACAAACAAATTCTACTAAATTACTAAATTATTAACACTTAATATACATTGTGCATTGAACTGGGTACAAAAACATTTAGTTTTTATCTTTTTATTTGCAGAATATCAAGAGTATCGTATGGTATAGTTTTTCCGAAGTCAATTGAATTGAAGAAGCAATAATTTAAAGGTATGTACCAGTCTCGGTCGCTAAGCAGCAACTCGTCATTGAAATATTTGAAAAACTTGTTCCCACATTTATTTAACCATACCCATAAACAGATCTGGTCGAACGAAACGTGCAGGTGGTAGAAATGTATACGCTCAGTTGAAGAATGAGCGTGCGGGCAAAGAGGAATGCGCACTGTTGCTCTGGTCAATTGCGTCATAATATTCAAGTCGCCTAGCAGTGCAGTGCGGGAATGCGGAATTTGGTGTGATTCAGATAATTTTAATTTATTATAGGCACACTTCTATTAATCATTCATATTACAATTGCAAACGGGAAAAATAAGAGGGATATTTGCTTTACTAATATTATTACAACATGGCATTTTGGAGACCTTTTGAAACGGAACAAAACGAAATTTACCATCAATATAATAAAATTGTTTAAGGACATAAATAATTAAAATATGTTGTTGGTCAAATGAACATATAATAGAAATTTTCTACACATTATATACAAATTATTATAATTTTCTACCTTTAGTAGAAAACTTTTTTAGGGACGCCCATGAAACTCATTGAATTTGATTGCTCGTTTTTTTTATGCATGTTCAACTCACTTCGGAAAAACTATACAATTGTTTGGTCTGCGTTTCATAATTCATGAGTCATACAGGGTGTCCCAAAATTAATGCAACAAAATTTGGTCACAGATTTTTAAGACAAATTTAGGGGACCCGTATTTTTTATTTTTACCAAGTGGCCCCCTCTTTCGGAGTTACAGCCCCTTAAAGTCCACCCCTAAGAATAATATTTTTTTATATGTATATCAGAACCCTGTTGTACAAGAATCACTAAATTTGGTACACAGGGGTTTTATGACATGTGGAATCTGATGGTGTTACGCTTTACCCTTAAGACAATTTTTCGTGGGTCCCTTGTCTTTGGAGCCAAAAAAATTTGGTCGCATATTTAAATTTCTTAAAAATTATTATTAGTTAGCTATTTTTTTCGTAAATAGCTAGGGTTTTGAGGAAAATGGCGAATCACGATATGCATTCGATTATATTTTGACATTTTTCTAAATTTAATGGCTTTCTAGAGCTAATAATTGTTAAGAAATTTGCGACCAAAATGACTTCTTAGGGGCAGATTTCAGGGGGCTGTAACTCCAAAAGGGGGGGCCAGTTGGCAAAAAGAAAAAATACAGGTCCCCTAAATTTGTCTTAAGAATCTATGACCAAATTTTGTGAATTTCAGGACACCCTGTATAGAAATTTCCAAAATTTAGAAATTTTAAAGTATTTACATTTTACAAATTTTACTACCTACATGTAAGAAATAATAAAAATTTGTTTTTATCCGGTACAGTGATTACTATTATGCTGCCGGAGGAGGTACAAAGTTTATGATTCCAATATATTCGAGATCTGTTCAGAAAATAACCGAACTTTATTCATTTAAAGTTTACTATTCACAGGGCAACAATTTTCACGCCCAAAAACCAGACCTCACTTGCCCGAAAGTTTTTGGTGCGTAGAATCCGAATCTGGCGTCAAAATTACTCTTATAGGCCACGTTTCCGAGATATCCTAACCTAAAAGTGCAAAAAACACGTTTTTTGCTATATTTGAGTTTATATCACAGAGCGAATTTTTTATTTTTTTTTCTAAAAACGAATCATGTCCTCTAAAACTACCACCCTTACTCTTTGAAACGCTTTTTTCAGATTTGAAAAACCTGTTTTATTCGCAAAGATATCATTGAATGAAGTTAAGTACTTTAGCGTTTGAAAATTTGCTCAATTTTTTTACAGTTACAGACTTTTGATCTCTTACTCAAGAACCATTAAATATATAAATTTCAAACATGGTATAGTTCAATTTTATCATAACAGCTTCTTAGATGTAAAATTTAATCAAAAACTAATCAATGGTGTCAGAACTAGGAGGGACTTAAGGAGTTACCACTGCCAAATAAAATAATTTAACGTTAAAGATAATCTTCATTCGCAGATCGCTCATGGTTTATGAGTAAATGTTCAAAAACCACGACAACGTTAAGGGCTTGTCAGCAGGGGGCCATAGATAAGAATCATTTCTTGTTCTAATTTTTCACAGATTAAAGATACACAATTTTATATAGATTAGGTATCCAGAGGAATGCTCCTCTGACCGTTCTACGAAAACAAATCAAGAAACACAAAAGTTTTTATGGAACACGCTCTTTCCAAACCTGTGAAAGAAGTTTGTCTTTAATGTTAATGTTTTTTTATAGTCGTATTTCTCCTAATTCCCACGTCGTTGTTAGTTTTTGATCAAATTTTACTTGACTACTATGAAGGAACTAAATTGTACCAAGCTTAAAGTATATTATACTTATAGTTCTTAACTAATTGCCCAAAAACTGAAGATTGGAAATCAAGATGAATTAATCCTTTAAAATATTCCTCGTAACGTAGTTAACACCCTGTATATATAATTGGGTCAAATACCAGTTAAGATGTGGGTGATACTGCCAGAGATATAAACAAAAAACATTTTTTTTACAACTTCAACACCCTGTATCTCTAAAACGAGGCCGTTCCAGACCTCGTTATAAGGCAAACACCTATTATTTTATAGAGATCTATCTGCTCTGGAAGTTTCCTGCATAAAATTCGGACCACCCTGTATGTACTAAAATAGCCATTCAAACTGAGACACAAACGAATGGTAATTAATTAATAGGAAAATATAAAATTTTGCTTAAGTATATGATGTGCCTACCATTAGATGTACTGGACAGCTTATAAAACCAATGGCATCTACTACCGTATCAAAAAAATGTTTTATGTCTATTTGGCAACACTCGTATTATTATCAAATAACGATTCAGAAAAGTAAATGTCAATATCAAAGAAAATGTTTAAGTTATTGTAGAAAATTTGACGTTTAAGTATTTTATAATCAATATGTAAATCTGTATTTCCAGAATAATAGAATTTTAGAAGAAGGTTGGTAACATAAGGCATATTTGGAGTTAGTAACACGCAAGAGTTCTGTCACATTCTCTAAAATATGTAAGTAGAAAAACTTAAGTAATTTATTTTTTTTTAAATGCAACGCAATGATTTTCAGTACGATTACTCTCGGCGAATTCGCCATTTTCTTAAGTAATACATGAACTAAAATTATGTAAAATTCCCCATACCAATTTTCCTTTAATAAATGCATGAAAGTATGATAAAAATAACATAATTACACAAGTGACTAACTGTTTCACGCATGAAAAGTGAAAGTAAAGTTGTAATTAAAATAACTAAGTATAATTAAAAAATCTGCACGTAAAATCTTATACATCGCGTTACAAAAAGAAGTTTTATTTATTACTTCGTTTCTTGTACTGCTGTTTTTACAAATTTCTGAATGACAAGGAGCAGAATGATTCGCGTAGATTCGTAATAATGAACAATATACATGAAAGAAGACACTAAAAGCTTTTTTCGAAAAAAAATACGATTAAGGGCGTGAATGATAAAAAAATAATAATTACTTTGGCCAAAGGTTATGTCATATTGCTCACCCTGTATGCGAAACGATTTTCTAACAGTAAAGCACTACCGCATATAAATACATCGATTGGTGTTTAAAGGACGTTTTGAGAGCGACTTGGGGTTTGCAGGAATGCAGTGATTTGGATACCCGGAGCGCGATTTCACAGGGCAATCCCGGACCCGACCCGGAACCAAAACTGGTCCTCACTCTGAGCTGCAGACTGCGCTTCGCTGGCGCACGCGCTTCTTCATACCATACCGATGGCTGGACTGGAAAACGTGCGTCCTCATCGAAAGCATGCAAGTCCTATGAAATTGTCAGAATTTAAATTATAGACTGCTTCGCCAAATTGCCTGCATATGTAAAGTATACATTTCATGTGTGGAACTTAAATTACAATTTTTGGGTGCTATTACTATATTTTGTTGTTTTGGTAAATACCTGAAAATATTGTGTCTCGATTATTGCAAGAGATAGATATTACTAATTGTGACAAACAGTTATTTTACGGACTAAAACCAGGTCCACATTAAATTACTTTATACATATACAGAAAAATACTTAAATTAGGAATGTTTTGCAGGACTTTACGTTGATATCAGATAAGTTTTTAAATTTACCTTATCACGTTTATATTTTGAGATATTCGAGAGAAATTGGAATTTGATGATTTTTTTTTCTTTCGTAGCCTAATAAACATTCATT